GAGTACGTTGTAAAGGATGGTCCGCACAAATATTAAAAACGGCTATTTGGGTGACCTGAGGCGATGCGTACAGATGGCCACTTCTGCTCGGCATTTCTGGACGATTGAGGACTTCGTTGTTGGTTCATCGACAAAGGTATATATATATATATATATATTACAATAAACGTGCAATCAATTTACAAATACATGAATTATTCACACAAAACTAATGCAAAAGGTTAATGATTTTAAATGGCGAGACATCCATCTACAAAACAATTCAAATAATTACAAAAACCAAGAAGATCCTATTATGAATGAATTGATCCTTGTTCATATAAATTTCTGCCGTAAAGTTTGTTATTTTAATACGGCTTTCGTCTGTTCAACAGACATCTTCATTTATATAATAGATGTTTGTTGTTTTTTTTTCTTATAAAGAGGACATGGATATAGGCCATCAAAAATCATTAACCTTTTGCATTAGTTTTTTGTGAATAATTTATGTATATATATATATATATATATATATATATATATATATATATATATCCACCCTCCCCTGACCCCTATCTGGTGTCTTTCGTCTGACTGAAACATTAAAATGGATAAATTCTGTATTTTTTTTACGATCGTTTTTTTTTAAGCTTTCACGGTTAAATTTCTATATTTGACACGAACTCAGTCCATACCGGGGTTGATAAGACAGATGAGATGACCCAACATTTTCGTCTGCCGAAGTAACCTTATTCCCTGTATAAGGTGAGGTGGGATTTTATTGTGTGTTAATTATTTGCTCTGTAATAATGAATACATTGAGCTCTTTTTGTGGATCATTTTTAATATTTTATATTAGTAGGATCCACTTGGATTATATACCAATGATGTTGCTAACTATATATATATATATATATACATATATATATATCAAATATGTGGTGCAGTTTAATTTATATTACAATGAATCATAAAGGGTTAAGTTCGACATTCCAACCAACTGAAGAAGGCTGGAGCGTACAACGGCCGAAACGTTGTAATAAATATGGCGACAAAGATGAGGACAATAGTCAGAATAATGTAAATAGTGTACTCATCTCAGAAATATAGACACATCCACTTTCATGTTTTAACATCAGTTGTCAAAGTTGTCAGACCCTATCCCTCCGGCGTCCAAGAAATTTCACGAAAAACCTACCCCAGGATCCCCACAACTTCTATTGGATCAAAAGATAATTTTACATTTTTATTTTTATTTTAGAAATATTATGAATTTTGTGATGATGAAACTGGAGTTATATAAAATAAAATTGTATTTACTCATATTTTAATAATTTATCAAATTTGGTACCTTTTTTATTTAGTGTGCCAGGGAATATTTTCCTGACTTCAACAATTCTTGGACAGTCAATAACGATTTCAGATGTGAAAATAAATTAATTCTGAGTTTTATTCATTTCCTGCATATAAAATGAAAATTAAATAATTTTAAATTTAGCCTGCAAGAAAGTCTTTATATAGAGGCGACGCTTAAATTTTTTTTCCTAAATGTATTCCTCTTTTATAGATGTAGTCTATGTAAGTATTTTTATCTGAATTTGAAGAAAATATATTTCCGAATCTACGTTTAATTGAATATCTGAAAATCAATTTCTTCATTCGTCATTTCCAAAAATTAAAGAAATAATGTTACAAATTAGAAATGTCTCACTTCACTATGCAAAGCATTCATTTTTGTTATATTTTCCTAAATTAAATTTACGAAGGAGAACTGGCAATTATTTACATTATTCGGACTATTGTCCTCACTTTTGGAGCCATATTTATTACAACGTTTCAGCCGTTGTAAGGCCCGGACTTCTTCAGGTGGTTGGAATGTCGAATTGAACCCTTTATTTCACTCGCTGGGGTAAACTATTCTAGTTCCACGTGCCATGTTTTAATGGATGTCAGTTATCAGTTATCACCTGTTAATTTCCCTCTGAAACATGACACGGTTTAGGAAAGATCAGACAAAATATATTTTGCTGTTTATCCTAAACCCGGTTCTATCAACATTTACACATGCTTGTTCTTCTTTTCTTCTATGGGCCATGTCGCTTCAGGATTTGGCGATCATGGCTCTCCACAATATCTTGTGCTTTGTAGCTCTTGGTAAATTTATTTTTTTTTTTATATATCTCCTAAACCCGTTTCTTACAACATTTGCACACGTTTTTTTTTCTTTTTTTTCTTATATGTGTCATATCCCTTCAGGGTGTAAGCTATCATGGCTCTCCACAACTTCCAGTCTCTTATATCTCATAGTAAATTTTGTCTGTTTATTATCTTTCCTAAACCCTGTTCTGCACTCATTTACAGATTCTTGTTTTTCTGCTACTATGGCATATGCTTCTTCAGTATGTTGCCGATCATGGCTCTCCACAATTTCCTGTTCTTTTTAGCTATTAGTAAATGTTGTCTTTTTACTATGTCTTATAAACCGTGTTCTGTCAATATTTCCTTGCCCTTCTTCTATATGCCATATTATTTCAGGTAGTTGACCTGGCATCTCGACTTCAGGTATCTTCCCATCGCCCTAACGTGTCTTCCAGGTGTTTTTTTTTTTTGTTTGTTTGTTTGTTTTTTCTACAAATATTTTCATGGCAATTTCTTTTCTGATGAGGTTTTTTCCTTGGTATCTCGACCCATAAATTTAGAATGGCTACTCGGTCTGATCGTTTTGCTGTTGAAATATCTAGGTGTCGTCGTCGTCGTCGTCGTCGGCATCCGTCCGTCTCGAGAGACGATGGAGTAGCGCGCTACGCTACGAGCCTAGGCGGGATGTATGTAGAACTAGGGCTGCCCGGACGTCTAAGTTCACCCTCTCGGCCTTGCTAGCAGAGTCCAAAGGAGAGGATAAACCAATACAGTTTGGTACCAGCGTGGCTGCAGGCGTTGCCGGAAGGTAGTACAAAGTACCGTCCATCCGCCTTAGGGGCTCCACTCCGGGTTTGAATTCAGAGTTGTCCTTCTCCTAGACAAGTTTTATTCTAAGACTTCCTTTTTTCGCACTTCTCGCTTGTGGAACTCTCTTTCATCCTCTTGATTTCCTGTCACTTATGATCTTCGAAAAATTAAATGCAATGTCAATCGTCAGCTACTGTCTTCTTAGTCTCTCTTCCTTTATTGTCTTTTCTCCTCGCTAACGTTTTCTCTTTCACTCTTGCGTCGTTGTGGCTTTATCTCCTTGATTGAGGAAAAACGATCAAAAGAAAGAAATGTCAGAAAACGGCAGTTTCAACAAATGAAAAGCAGAATTTTTTTTTATACATCAAAAAAATTATTTCCTCCGTTTTCTTTTAAGCAATAACGAGCGATCATTTTCCTTTTTTCTTATTTTTACGTATATATACTCAGAATACATTTCAGAGGCCAAGGTACAAAGTATTTAGAGATTTCCCTATTCTGGGGTTAACCTCGAGGAAGAATTCGGAGACGGAGACCGTAAGGCTGTACTCAGCAACATCTTGGCATCTTCTGCGAGGGCATTTACTTTTCCATTAAACCATTTCAACGACTTTAGTAGGGGAATCTAAGCATGGTTAATAGTATGTCTTCAGTATCTACGTACCCCAGGCTTTTTATCCCGGAGAGCCAGGAAGCAGCTGTCTAGACGTTGCACTTGAAACATCTAGAACACAAACCATAGTCTCGAGATTTCCGGGAGCCATGCTTGTTTGCATTCTGAAAGGATTTAGCGTTAAAATACAAAAAAGGAAATCGGGGAGAGGAGTTGCCAGACTGGCCATGGTTAGAAAAGAAGTTTTAAAAGTGAGTGTACCACTTCATTCATCTTTGCAAATTTCCGTTCTGATGGAGATATTCTTTATGAAGACAGTAGGCGATGACACTAATCTCTTCGAGATAGTGCAGCGGTTGGCGACTGGGACATGGAAATGGGTGAACTGAGTTCGAATTTCGGATGAGTTCGCTACGTTCATTTTTTTCCTCTCTCCCAACTATGGGTTAAATAGCATGACTAATTCGTCTCTCTTGCCTTGAGGTGGTAACTATAGGAGATGGATAATTCTGAATCGTTATCTTCCGTACGTTTAAAAACCGTTCTTTTATTGTCCTCTCTTTTCGTCTTAGTGGCTTTATTGCCTTTCACTCCCCAAACCGTGTTTCTCGTGATCTTCATTAGTTCTTCACTCTTCAAACCAACATCAATGTTTTCACTTTTGACCTGGTGTCTTGGCTTCAATCACTTTCCCACCATCATATGCAGCTTCCCTGTGCCTTTTCTATAAATATTTTAATGGCAATTTTTCTGATTAGCTATGTCTTTGGTACCTTGATTTTGTGAATTTAAGTATAGTACAAGATTAGCAGCTAGATCTCATCATTTTATTGTTGAAATTGCTAGATGCATCTGTAAGTTCTACTCTAATAGTTTCTTCTCTCACACTTCTTGCCTGTGGAACTCTTCTTCCAACTTCTTGCTTTCCTGTCAACCATGATCTTTAAATATGTAAATGCAGCATCAATCGTTATCCTAATTCTTTTCGAAACCCATTCTTTTATTGTCCTCTCTTCTCAATAACATTTTCTCAGTTTCTTTCACTCTCAGTAATCCTTTGTGTCTTAGTGGCTTTATTGCCTTCCACTCCTCAAACCTTTGTTTCTTGTGATCTTCATTAATCCCTCACTCTTCAAACCAACATCATTCCTTAGCAGTTCCATGTGTTTTAGTCTTCTTTTTTCCTCTTTTCTGTGTTTATGCTCCCACAAGAGTGCTTTTACTTAAAACTCATCTTTCCTCCTCCAAATGTACCTAATGGATTAGCAGTCCTCAAATCTGTAGTGATTCCATTATACTTTGCAGTTATTTGTAGAGAGTTCCTTGTTTGTTTTGTGCTTTTTGTCTGATATATCACGTATAAACCTGATCTTTCTCGTGTATGTTCCATCAAGACTGTCACTCATCTATTTTGTTAAAGTCCACTTAAACTTTTCATGCTATGTTTTTTTTCTTTTAGACTCAGATGCGGCACTTGTTAGTTGAGGAGCTCCAGGAATGTGTTCCAGGTGGAAATATTCTCAAGAAACGAGACCCTGAAGCTGCCAAAGATGATAACTCCCTTTTGTTGAGGGCAGCAAACAGTCTAGTGGCCAATCATCCCCAGAAGAATGAATATGAATACACGATGGGAATATTTGTTCCCGAGAGTGGCACATATCCAAATGTGCCTAAATGCATCAGCTGTCTTCAAATCTGTAGGAATTCCGTCCGTCACGCATGGCATTTATTTGCAGAGTTCCTTGTTTGTTTTTGTTTTCTATTTGTGATGCACCAAGTACCGACCATAGCCCTAAGCATCCTTGCACAACTCATCTTCCCGTCTTGATGAACTACATCCGCGTCCTGGGTAAGACAATAAAGTACATCCGACAGCAAGGCCTTTCATCAGGTTTTCAGGGGCGTGGAACCACCTTTTAATTGCTGGTGTTCCCAGGTCTACCCTGACCCGGGGTGGTAACTATGGCAAAATACTTAACTCCCCAAAAGGGTCAAAACACTATGAATGTGTAAAAATAGGATTTAATACCAGAAATACTTTTTTGTAAAAAAATATTACCAGCAATAAATTATTACCAGCAAAATATTTTTGAAAAAAAAATAATATTACCAGCTATACATTTCTAGAAAAAAATATTACCAGCCATAGATTTTAAAGAAAAAATATTACCAGCAATAGATTTTTGAAGAAAAAATATTATCAGCAATACATTTTTGGAAAAAGTTATTACCGGCAATAAAAAATCTTGTCGGCATTAAATAACCCATTGAGGTGTTTATATGCTGTAAAACAAAACAAACCAAGGCAAACAACTCATCTTCTTTGTTCAAGTCCAGCTTTCAGCATAGTAGAGCAGCACTCTTTCCATTGTGTCTCAAAAGAAATATTTTTTCAGATGCTTTTGGAGATTTCACTTCCATTACGTTCTCCATTTAGTTTAGCGCTCTCAGAATTGTCCAATTCCAATTTCCTTGTCTTTCTTACTTGAATGAATTCAAGGCACCAAGGAATTTGGTCGTTTAATTCGAGTAATTTCGTCTAATGCAGTAGTTCCCGACATTTTTGTTTTTTTGGCCATGTTCCACCTAAGCATCTCTAAACCCCTGATGTCCGCTCCACCTGTGATATATAATTCATATTATTCAAAAAGTGAACTCCTATTCACAAAAGGGAAGCCTAAAAGCTAAAAGGTCATTAACTTGGTCTAACCAAATTCTATGGCATCCATGAAAGAGTAAAATTAAAGAACGAAAAGACAGCTGAAGTACTGAGGAAGAAATTACTAATAATTTGTAATACACACACACACATATATATATATATATATATATATATAGCTAGTTAGGTCAGCTGCTAAGAAAGTCGGTTCACTATCTTACATATATATCAGTCTACCATACTTAGAATATTGATGCCACATATGGTCCGGTACCTGTTCTATTTACCTTGAGCTCCTTGATAAAATCCAAAGAAGAATCAGCAATATTATTGGTCCTGACCTGGCTGCTCGGCTTCAGTCACCCACCGCCGTAAGGTTGCCTCACTGTGTCTTTTCTATAAATACTTCGATGGTAATTGTTCGTATTAGCTCTTCATTATGGTAACTACCTTCTTTTTTTTTTTATTTAAGTGCAGTATTCGACTGGCGTCGAGATCTCATCAATTTACAGTTGAGCTGGCTAGATGCAACCGTAAGTTCTATGCTAACAGTTTCTTTTCTCACGCTTTTCGCCATCCGACCCCATGCTTTCCAGCCAAAGTTAATCTCCAAATATTTAAATGCAATGTCAATCGCTATCTATTGTCCTCCTCTTCTCACTCATTATTAATGTTTCTGTTCCTAATTCTTCCACAGCCTGTAACACCTTGTGTCATAGCGTGTTTACTGCCTTTCATGAGGTGATACCAATTATATATATATATATATATATATATATATATATATATATATATATATATATATGTAATTACATATGTAATTACACACATACATACGTACAGTTATTTTCATGTATACATACTGCATACTGCAGTGTATGTATTAACTCTCACACACACTTATATTCACACAGACTCACTAGAAAAAATTCATTGTTAATAACTTCTTCTCCTTTAAAATCTAATCGCACCGCTTTGAGAACTATAGGTCTAGTAACTGTTAATAGTTGTACAGTAGCTGTTAATGCTATTTACAGTATTGACGGGATTTCATGTGATATCCATTTTTGTTGTAACTGCTGTTGATAATTCTCAAGTGATGTAGTTTCTGCTATTTGGCATAATTCATTAGTTGTGATTTTGTAGCACCAGTCCACAAAGTTCAAAGAAAAATGGCCTTTGAGGCCTCACTCGCTCAAAGCCATTTTAAACCACTGATCTTAGGAAGCAGTTCTATACAGCTGACAGTTTATATGAGCCTGAACGGATTTGGCGCTATCCATGACACCCGTACGAAAGTTTAGATCTTACGAGGTTATTTAAAAACAGGTTGATGTTTTGATTTCGTAGCCATTTGCAGCGTTGGACGAAACTTCCTGGGAAAATCCTAATTAAGCCCGATGAAAACCAAAAGAACGAAAGGCGTCACATGAAAAATTGATCCACTTCGGCGTAGTTTTTTTCCCCCCTGAAAATGAAATACGGAATAAATATCAGCATTTCTTCCTTTGATCAAAGAAAATAAAACTCAATTTCCTCTCACGCATAGCTATCACAGTACGTCATTCAAAGAAACAACGCCAATGGTGAGCAAGAGATGATACTGCGATTTCCTCAGTATCCAGTCGGCTTGGCGTAGACATATTCAACTTGAATAGATTGGAATACCTCAGGCGTTTTTCTATATTTATCAATGCTTTATTATTTGCGATTATTTCCCGTTTCAGAGTTTACATGAGGAAATTTTTTATCCTATTATTTACCTATAACCTTTAACTTATACAGTGCCTAAGGTTTCTGGCAGAGAGCGCATAATCTTTAACCTATACAGAGCCCAAGAGCCACTCCAGGTTTCTGGGAGAGGGCATAATCTTTACCCCATACACTGCCTAAGAGCCACTCCAGGTTTCTGGGAGAGGGCATAATCTTTACCCCATACACTGCCCAAGAGCCACTCCAGGTTTCTGGGAGAGGGCATAATCTTTACCCCATACACTGCCCAAGAGCCACTCCAGGTTTCTGGGAGAGGGCATAATCTTTACCCCATACACTGCCTAAGAGCCACTCCAGGTTTCTGGGAGAGAACGCATAATCTTTACCCTCTACAGAGCCCAAGAGCCGCTCAAGGTTTCTGGGAGATAACGCATAATTTTGTGTGATCCTCGGTTTGAACAATACGAGTCCCGATGACTTGTGACTTCGTGCTTGCGCAATCATCGATCATACATTTTTTTTAAATCATTTCACTCCTAAGCAAGGCAGGAACGCTACTAGTACGCAGGGGGGTGGGTATAGAGTGTGAAAATGAGAGAAAAGCCTGGGTACAGGGAGGATTGAGGAAAGGACAAAAGATGAACGGGATTCAAGAAGACATAATATGGTGACTGGCGTTGCTTTTAGATTTTAGAAGATTGTAGCTATCAGGGAAGCAATTAAGCGGTAAGAAGTTCCACAGACAGAAAGTGCGAGAAAAGAAACTGTTGGAGTAGAGGTGGCTGTTGCATTTAATTATTTCAACAGTAAAAGGGTGGGACCTAAATACCAATCTAGTAGCACGCTTAAACTCACGTTGTCAGAGCACCACCGGAAAAACTCGTCAGAGCAGTTGTCATGAAAATCTTTATAGAAAAGACAGAGGGAAGCCACGTTGCATCAGGATCGATTACATTGCAGATCCTTCTTTGGATTTTGTCAAGAACCTCGAGATGAATCGCAGGAGGACCAGACCAGATATGGCAACAGGATTCAATGCATCTATATCGTAATGAAACTAACCGTTTCCACGCAGAAAGCTTTCGCCATTAATTGACTGAACAGTTAGCGTTGCTGTCACTTCAAATGTATAAAATCGTTTTTTCTTGAAAGTTTTTCAAGAAATCAGACTTCTCACTCTGATCGCTATTTCTAATATTGACGGAAGTTTCCTTCCTACCCTTTTGTTTAAGGTAGTGGGGAAAGCCAACACTTGATTATTTTCCCTTTTAGTTAAATGTTTTCTCATTTTTATTGCCATTGTCGTTATTATGTAAGTATTTCACTATTCCAATAACCAACAAATACTATTCTTAAAAGAATGCTCAATACAGAGTAGAGCAAATATAATCATTTATTCGAAAATTATAGCATCACTACAAAAATAGCCATTTTGTTTCAACTTATCAAGTGATGGTGTTGAATGTAGAATAAAGGATTTAAAAACACTTTATTCTACATTCACACACACACACACACACACACACACACACATATATATATATATATATATATATATATATATATATATATATATATATATATATATGCCATTTGGTAAAGTTTTATTTGTGATCTTGATAATCGTTGATCAGGTACAGGTAACCTTCAGATAAATTCGAACTGAACCCTTTATTTAAAACCTTTAGCACTCTGTAGGTGACCATTTTCGTCAAGCAACATGTTAGCCCTGCCAATGCAAATTGAATTTTAATTTCTTGCTTGTGTAGTCATATCCTTCTAGGGCAAGAGTCGGTAACCCCCGGCCGCCGGTCTACCCCCGGCCGCCGGTCTACCCCCGGCCGCCGCAAAGGATTTTTGTTCGGCTTGCCAGCTTAATACATGGACACTAATTATGTAATTAATTTCTGGAGCAAGTTGCAGAAAAAAATATAATTTGGAGTTAATTGGTTTACAATGCGACGAATTTTTGAAATGAAAATTTTATTCCGAATCCACTGCCGACTTCTACAAGAAATATATTTTGACAAGCAGGAAATAGAAAAGTCTATTAAATAATGCGAAAATGATGGCATCATTATTTGGAAGTACATATACTTGTGAACATCACTTTTTCGAAAATGAAATCTACTAAAAGTCATTTAAGAATAGGGTTGGGTGATGACCACCTAGATGATGTTTTGCTCCTGTCATCGACAAATATTTCATTTGATGTGGAGAATTTATCAAATAATAAACAGAAATAAGTGTCTCGTTAAATAATTTGCGATTTCTAATTTCGTTTGAAGTAAGGAATTTGCAGTTTTTTTTATTGTTGTTATCCTGTACTAAAATAAAGAACTGTAGAGGGCCGTAGAGTGAAGATGTAAACAATTCACGTGGGTTAAAATTTCCTGATAGCCGTTCCAGCTACACGAGAATGTTGGACTTAAGTCCAAAGAAGACAAAGAAAACAA